TTTGTCAGTTTCCTCTCTATATATCACTAATTGTGCCTCTACTTCTTTGAGAGTATGAGAGCTTTGTTTGTTTCTTCTTTATTTGCCTTCATTTGTGTGAACATTTCTTTGAGAGCCTTGTTCATTTCTTCTTTGTTTGCCTCAATTTTTGTCGTCATTTCTCTGAGGGGTCTATTTGTTTCCTCTTTATTCGTCTCGATTTCTTTGGCTATTTCTCTGAGGGCTTTGTTCATTTCATCTTTGTGGGCCTCTAATAGCTGGAGAAACATAGTTTTGAGGTTGTTTTCTTGTATATCTAGTGAACTGAAGTGTCCATTGTTTTGTGGGGTTGCTGGTGAGGTCATTATGTCCTGAGTTTTGTTGGGTGTGTTCTTACGTCTGCGTCTAGCCATCTGGTTATTTATAACCCTCACTGTTTGTTTCTCAAGTTTGTACTTCAGGCTATGATCGTCTCTTTCTGTTTTCTGGACTGTTTTTTCAGGAAGATGAGAGGGGTTCACTGGTTTGGTTAGTGTGCGTTGTGGTTGCAGTTTTGCCTAAGTAAGGAATGTGACCCTGGTGCTATTCGCATGAGCTTTTAGCGGGTGCAATGTGCATGCGTGGAGTCTGACTATTGCAGTGGCCTACAGGCCACTATTACGCAGTTCTGACTGAGATCCAGGGATTGTTTGTCTGGATTACACTGGTGGACCCACAAGGCAGAGGATTCAATGTTGGGGTCCCTATCCCAAGAATCCCTATGATGCCCACACTAGGGGTGTGGGTGTCAGGGATCTCTTCTGGTTGCTTCTGTGGAGAGGCCCTGGGTCTGGGGCAAACTCTTCCTAGAAGGCTCACTCACTCTCTTGCAGGACCAGTTGGAATGCACAGGGGTTCCCCTTGCTCTCTACTCTCTGATTTGGTTCTGCTGCAGAAGTGCACAGGTAGGCTAACAGTGGGCTCTGTGGCATTGTGGCTGTGGGACTCAGTGTCCACCTTTCCTGTGTGCTGCCTCTCTGTCCTTTCCCTCTGCCAGGATGGGTTATGTTGACTGGTCCCGGGGTAGTGCGGGAAAGAGTTGGGTTGAGTGTTCTCAATCCCAGATCCCGGGCCCAGATCTCTCTGCCAGAAGCAGCCTGGCAGTAGAACCTATGTTTGCTGATTCCGAGAGAGAACCAGGTATGGTTGAGTGTTCTCAGATCCAGAGCTTGGGTTTCTCTGCCAGGGGCCTCTGGGTGAGCTGGAGAGGGGGTGCTGTGTCCTCTGGCAGGCTGCCTCTCTGTCCTTCCCCTCCGCTAGGGCAAGCCTATGGCAGAGCTCTCAGGGGAGTGCCAGAATGGGTTGGGACTTCTCAGTTCCGAACCTGAGCCAGGGTTTCTCTGCCAGGGGCCGGGGGGCTGCCGGTGCTAAGACTTGGTGCTGGTCCTTATTGTGCTGGATCCAGAAGAGTCTCCAGACGTGTTGAATGACCACAGTCCCAGATCCTGAGCTGAAGATTGTTCCCTAGGAGCAGCCGGCAGCACTGGGGGCTGGGTGCTGTGAGCTGCTGTGCACCTCTCTATCCTTTCACTCTGCTGCTGCAGGGTTAAGGCAGCATTTGGGCAACCGGGGAATTCCATGAAAGGACTGGGATTTCTCAGCCCCGATCTCAGGGGTTTTTTTTGTTTGTTTTGTTTATTTATTTATTTATTTATTTATTTATTTATTTATTTATTTGTTTGTTTGTTTTGGTGGGAGCTGCAGCTCTCCCTGGGGCTGGGGTGCAGACAGTGTGGTCTGTGGTAGATTCTGCTGGATGCCTCCTGCCTCCTCCGAAGAGGGAGTAGGGTGTTGGGTGCGGGGAGGTGCCTGGGGATCACCTCTCTGGGGGTGTGTCCTCCGGAAGGAGTCTGACCTGATTCTAGAAGGACTCAGATCATGTTTAGCCTCTTTATTCTTGGAAGTCTAGATACCTCTGTTCTGGGTTGATCAGCCCCTTCATTCACCAATTTCCACGTTGCGGGTCCTCTCCCCTTCAGCTAAGCTACACACTAGCCGCCGCCATCTTGGAAGTCTCTTAATTTATATTTTTATTAATTACAGTTTATTCACCTGTAGCTCCCTCCCTCCCTCCCCTCCCAATTCTTGCTGCTCTCCCCATTCTACACCCATGACTCTCCCCCAGTCCACTGATAGAGGAGGCCTTCCTCTCCTTCCTTCTGATCATAGTCTATCAGTTCTCATCAGGAGTGGCTAAATTGTCTTCCTCTGTGACCTGGTGAGGTTGCTCCCTCTCATGGGGAGGTGATCAAAGAGCAGGCCAATCAGTTCATGTGAGAGACAGGCCCTGTTCCCATTACTATGGAACCCACATAGACACTGAACGTCCGTGGGCTACATCTGAACAGGGGTCTAGGTTATCTCCATTAATAGTCCTTGCTTGCAGTATCAGTCTCAGAAAAGATCCCTATGCCCAGATTTTTTGACAGAAAGACTGGGAGAGAACAGGAGCTCCACAAGGAGAGCAAGAGAACCAAAATTCAGACATTACTTTTGGCACAATTTTTTTTTTTTTGCTTTGGAGAAGTGATCTCCCTCTAATAATTGTCTAGCTATCTCACATGTTCAGGAAAAGTTATCAATCACAACATTTCCACAAATCACAATGTGAAATATGGAGTATTTGAAACTGGAATGTGATGTTTTTGTGTCAATATCCCAAAATATTTCTATTAGAAAATAACACAATACAGAGAATATTTAAATAAATTAAAATAGACAAAGAATTTATGAGCGTGGACTTTGTTAGTTTTCACAACGGGATCAGGCTTCATTGGAGGCAAATACTAAACTTGTAACTTAAACATATGAAACTAAAAGAAATCACAATTGAAAATATATCAAGATGGATTTTTCAAATTTCCTAAACTCACCTGGACATGAAAGCTAGAAAGGTTTAATAACATTGAGATTGCAACTGAAAATCTACCATGAATATATAGGAAACACTGGCTTGAGGCAGGAGAACTTGGATCATGACAATCATGTGTCACCTGCAGGATCTGAAAATTCAGATTCAAGGCTCAAATTTATCCTTTGCTACTGCAAGATTTTCTTTTAGGTTCTATTATTTTTCTTGAAAATTTCTTGCATTTTTCACGATGACTTCTGAAAATATTCATTTTTTCCTTGAACTAATTTATTCAATCACTACAGAGTATGATGGAAAATCCCTCATTCCTCTCCCAGTCTCCAGCCCACACCCTCTCTCCCTATTCTCTCTTCCCCCTTTCCACAGAGAAGGAGAAGGCCCCAGTGGGAAACAACCCACCCTGGCACACCGAGTCACAGCAAGACTTGTACATCCTCTCCCCCTGAGGCCAGACAAGGCAGTCTAGCCAGGGGAACAAGATAAAAAGGCAGGCAACAAAGTCAAATAAAATCCTACTCCAATTGCTAGCGTTCCCACATGAAGAACAAGCTGCACATCTCTACATATGTGTAGGGGGTCCAGGTCCAGTCCATGGAAGCTCTTTGATTGTTGGTTCAGTTTCTATAAGCCCCATTAGGCACAGAAGTCTTCTAAAAGTCTCCCTGAGCTCTGCCTATCCTTTGGATGTGGGTCTCTGAATTTGTTTCCATAAGCTGCTGGATGAAGTATAAAAGAAAACAATCATGCTAGGATTCTGTCTGTATCCAAAGCAGACTGTCATTACTAAAGTCAAGATTTGGCTCTTCCCCATGGGGTGGGTCTCAAGTTGGTCCTTTTACACAATGGAATACTGCTCATCTTTTAATAACAAAAATATTGTGAAATTTGCAGGCAAATGGATGGAACTACAAAAGCTTATCCTGAGTGAGGTAACCCAGACTCAGGAACAGGTGTATGGTAAGTATTCACCTATGTGTGAATATTAACCACAAACTTCAGGTAAGCATTCCACAATCCACAGACCCAAAGAAGCCAACTAAGGCAAAGGGAGGATGCTTGAATCTCACTCAGAAAGGTGTATAATATAGACATCTGAAATAGATGAAATGAGGAAGTTGGTGAGAGAAGGGTGGGGGGCTAAAAAGGATGAGGATAAGGTAAGGAGAGAGTAGGGTTAGGGCCTGTGGAGGAGGGCTTGGAAAGAGAATATAAATTGTTGGTGAAGTATCTATGGTATAGGCTCCCAGGACTGTGGAGGGTGACCTTACCTGAGACTTCTAAAAGTGGAGCATATGGAGCCTGAAGCTGTCACCTTCTTTAATCAGGTGGGACTTTCAGGGGTTGGAGGAGGACACAAAAACCACCCAGGAAATGTTAACCTAAAATTTGTCTTCTGTACAAGATGTGTATGAATCAGAATGGCACATAGATTGAGGGAATGTCAAACCAAAGACTGGGTTAACCTCAGATACATTTGTTTGTTTGGTTGTTTTACATTTAACTGTAGCATATCAGTGAGAATCTTCAACTATTCATTCTTGGAATATGTAATTTACATTTAACTCTAGCATATCAGTGAGAATCTTCAACTATTCATTCTTGGAATATGTAATTTATGTGCAATTTCATTGCTTATCGAGGCATCTACAGAAACCTACTGCAGGAGTGGGTGTCTATGATCATCTGTTGTCTATGATGGCTGCTTGTAGGCTAACTTTTCCCATCTGTCTCCTCTCCCACCTCTCTTGTAAACCTGTAAATCACTGGATTTTTCATTTTCTCTGAGAGCATGGTAGAGTCTTACATTGCTCTTTCTAAACACTGTTTTCAGAATTGTTTGTGGTCAGTTTAGTGACGTATATTTATATCTCTCATAATAACACTGTTTTATACAACGTAAAACTTTCCACACATTGGTCAATTACCCTTTTTCTTTTTTTGGAGATGGTATCTCAAGACACCAGTTAGAATATTCTGTGGGTGAGTAGAGGCCAGTTTTCTATCTGTTATCACGAAACTCAAAATCCTAATCAAAGATCAAGAGAAGAGTATTTGCTCTGTTGCTTTGTGCCACAGTAGAACCAGTTTCCTCTCAGGGTTTCTGACACACTCAGGATGTGGTTTTCACACTGTGTCTTGCACAGTAATACATAGCCGTGTCCTCATTCTTGAGGCTGTTGATCTGAAGATAGGCAGTGCTGACAGAGGTGTCCAAAGAGAAGACAAACCGCCCTTTGAAGTCTTCGGCATATGTTGGGTTCCCAGTATAAGTGTTGATCCAACCCATCCACTCCAGGCCCTTTCCTGGCGCCTGCTTCACCCAGTTCATGCCATAGTCTGTGAAAGTGTAGCCAGACGCCTTGCAGGAGATCTTCACTGACTCTCCAGGCTTCTTCAGCTCAGACCCAGACTGCACCAACTGAACCTGGGCTTGGACACCTAGGGAGAGAACACAGGAAGGTTAGATTTCTTGGGATTACCTCAGGTTCTTATGATGCTCTTGGCTCCGATGTCTTACTTTGGACAGCTGCCATCAAGAAGAGGAATTTCCACACCCAATACATGATGTATGATGTGTGGGCTCTGTGATCCTTGACACTAACCAGGCACTCTTTGCTGGTACAGGAGGAGACCCTCACTTTTCTACTCCAAAATCTTCTACAGATTTGCATAAGGCTGTGCTCACTAACTCACAATGAGCTAAACCACGTATACAAATTGACATATGAGGATTTCTGACCATGGATGGCTGAGCCTATGCCTTTAGTATCTGGTATTCATGTCTTCTTGCTGGTTGTTATTTCCTAAGGTCTATGCTTGAGCTGGGTCTGCACAGTGACTTTTCTCAACCATGCACCTCACTGCTTCAGTGCTCTACCCTGAACTTTATATGTGTAACAGTGCAACAGTGGCCTACGCTGACCACTCATAAGGTGGCTGTCCTGCTCTGTGCTCAGAATCAATGACTCCATCTTTATAGTTGAGACTGCCCTCTGCATCAGTACTTCCTGGCCTATTGCCTCTAAATTGGAGCTGGTCCTCAACTCTTAGGGTCCTCTGCACTTCCATATCAGTGTATGATCTTTCTTGGTGAAATTTACTGTAAAATTAAAATACATTTCTATTTAAAATGTGTGATCCCCATTTATGTAAGTCACATAGTAAATGTTGTAACTGTGAAATAGTGCAAGAGGGTAGGTAAATGAGGAGCCTTGGGTGGAATAATGTACTTATATTCATATGAAATTAAAATGTCATTTCAGTAAAAATGGTGAAGCAAATGTTATAACAAGAATAGTTTGGAGAGCTGGTGAAATAGATCGGTGGTTAAACACATGCACTGCTTACCAAAGGACCTCAGTGCGATTCCTAGCAACCAAATCAGGTAGCTCAAAACTACCTAAAACTGCAACTCCTCAGGGAGACAAATGCTTCAGCTTCTTTGGACACCTGCACCAATGTGCACATGCCCACACAAAGACTCAGACCAGTAATTAAAATAGTACAAATATGAAAAGAAAGAATAGTTTGATAATAAATTAACATATGTGAAAAACAGAACACTGATATAAAATGGAGATTTCTTAGAGTACTGTAACTGAAAATCTCCATGCTCAAAGATGAAAAAATTTCAGCACAGTTCACCCATTCTTTTATTTTTTATTTTCATTTTTTAAATTTTTTATTAGTTACACTTTATTCACTTTGTATCCCTCCTGATAGGGGAGGTCTGCTTTTAATTCCTTCTGATCCTCATCTATTAGGTCTCATCAGGACTGCCTGCATTGTCTTACTATCTGGCCTCGTAAGGCTGCTCTTCTGTCAGGGGGAGGTGATCAAAGAGCAGGGCAATCAGTTCATGTCAGACAGTCTCTCTTCCCATTACTATGGAACTCACTTGGAGACTGAACCACCATGGGCTACATCAGTACATGATGTTCTAAGTTATCTCCATGAATGCTTCTTGTTGGAGTGTCAGTCTCAGGGAAGCCCCCTGTGCTCAGATTCTTGATAATCTGAAATCCCATGAAAAGCCTTTCTCATTTTAATCTTATTTCTGCTCTTTTATACTCCAAACTTTATGAGACTGGGCTCATCATTAGAGATATATGATTCTACTTACTTTGTACATTTGACACTTTTCCATCAGTGCACATGATGAGCCACAAAGAGCAACAGAACACTAAGTGATACAGTTCAAGAAGAAAGCAGAACCTAGATTAAGAACAGGGGATGAAACTAGGCATGTTTTACATTTGGCCAGGGTTAAACAGTGTTATTTGAATGTGTACTGTGTTTTGTACTGATACTGTGGACAAAGGAAAAACAATTACAACCGGGTGAAACCTGAAACAGTAGATGTGAGGCAGGAAATGCAAGAAATGAGTACAAGAGTGCGGTGCATGCAGACACGGCTTCTGTACTGCACCATTCATGTTCTGCTAGCACAGGTGTTACTTGTCAAAGGAAGTCAGAAATTGTCACTTTCGTTGTCCTGCAGTTTCTTCTGCATACTGGGCAGAGAGAGGAAGCCCAGGACTGACAGGAAATGTTTTCTGGCCTTCTGTGCACCTGCTTCAGAGATACAAGTGAAACTGTGGAGATTTGGCGCCCCCTGATGTGTCCCTGACTCCCTGCAGTATGACAAGTCTTCCACCCTGATTGTAGGAGCATCATGATGGCTTCCAGTGCATGCTTTGTCAGTTATAAAGTCCCCATCTCAAAGACACTCCTGATATGGACTTGGGAAAGATGTGATTGTAGAATTTACAATTTTCTGATGATTTCAGATTATGCCTCAAAATCATGTCATCTTGATTTCCTCTTCTATTGGCCTGCAGATCCCACAATTTAGATGACTTTCTGTGGCAAGTGAAGCAGCTGGTCTACCAGGAGAATTTAGATGTCCCTGTCAACTATTGCTGCAATGGGGCAGGCATGGGTTTGGGTCAGCAGAACCCTCTCCTTTGGCAGATGCTCAAATTTCCCTGTGATTGAACTTTTCCTGAGTGGGCACAGATGTGTCACAAGGCAGTGACATTGTTTACGGTGATGGTCTTAGGTTCGTCTCCCCATGCCTCACACAGGATATGAGATGGTTTTTGTGTCTCTGTTGTCCTCTGTGATTCTACCTGTTCCATCCACTAATATGTTCACTGTACCATCCATAGGTTCATTTGTCTTGACTGAAAGCGTTATTTGTCACTTATTCTATCTGGTTTTTTTATGCTCAATTTTTGTGTGAAATTCATATGAGTAACAACTTAGTTAGACAGTACCCTGAAATTTACAGCATTCACAATGTTGAAAATGTATAGCTCAGCTCTTTCTATGTTCTATCATTGTCTCAAACATATAGAATATAACACATCCCATATTCACATTCCATGTCCCCAGGTCCTCTTTTTCTGGCCCTTTCCATAGACTTATCTAGCCTTGAATATTATGGGAATGAAACATGTCATATGAAGTTACATTCTATCCTTTTTTCCCACTGTTTTAAACCGTTATTTTTTATATTAATTACAGTTAATTTTTTTTTTTGTATCCCAGCCGTAGCCTCCTCGCTAGTTCCCTCCCAATCCCAACCTCCCCTCCTCATCTCCTCCCATGCCCCACTCCAAGTCCACTGATAGGGGAGGTCCTCCTCCCCTTCCATCTGACCCTAGCTTATTAGTTCTCACCTGGACTGGCTGCATTGTCCTCCTGTGTGGCCTGGCAAGGCTGCATGCCCCTAACAGGTGGTCAAAGAGGCAGCCACTGAGCTCTTGTCAGAGACAGTCCCTGTTCCCCTTACTAGGGTATGCACTTGGATACTTAGATGCCATGGGCTACATCTGAGTGGGGATTCTATGATATCTCCATGATTGGTCCTTGGTTGGAATATCATTCTCAGAAAAGTCCCCTGGCTGGGCTTTTGTTTTTTCACTTTTAAACTCCTGTGGATTCATCCACATTGTAGCATAGAAAACATTGCATGAATGTCAAATGTTGCGATCACAACATGGCACTTTTTGGAAATAGTTGGCATGTTCAGTCATTCAACATTTGATGATTTCAGTGATAGAGTATCATAGATTATCAGGCACTGACTATCTGTGCAAATATTCTTGTAAGAGTTTTTAACTTCCACATTTATAGTACACCACAAGAAGGCTAATTGATGGATCACACACTAATTCTGCATTGAGTATTGACACCCTTACTGAAAGCGAGTTCTCCCTCTGTGTGTGTGTTGTTTTAAGTACTGTGACTGTGTGCACACAAGTGAGTATGCTTGTGTGTATAGACATATATAGGAACTAGCGGTAGACCTTGGCTGTTGTTCACCCACCACCTGATAACATGTCTTTGATACAGGGTTTCTAACTGAATATGAAGTTCTTCCATGAGGCCTAACCATCATGCCAATAAGCTTCAAAGATCTATATGTCTGCCAACAGGTGCTGGAATTATGAATATCCACAGCCATTCCAAGTTTGCTTCATGAAATCTGGGTTCCAAAATCAGTGTCTCTTGCTTGTGCAATAAATGTTTTACCTATTGTATTGTCTTCCCTCCTTTTCTTTACTTTTTCTTCCTTCCTTCCTTCCTTCCTTCCTTTTCTTTCTTTTCTTTTCTTTCTTTCTTTCTCCTTCCTTCCTTCTTTCCTTCCTTCCTTCCTTCCTTCCTTTCTTTCTTTCTTTCTTTCTTTCTTTCTTTCTTTCTTTCTTTCTTTCTTTCTTTCTTTCTTTCTTTTCTTTCTTGTAATATTGCATTGAACCTAAGATCAAAAATGTGCTAGTTAAATAACATTTTACTGAACTACATGAGCTTACTTTATTTGTCATCCCTGATGATCATAAGAACATTTCTGCAGTGGCTTTCCTAAGGCTGTGTGAAAATGATATTAGGAATAGAGAATACTTTAAACTACTGAATTCTTTATTCAATAAGCACATAGTCACCATTGTATTAAGTAGAAGCAAGTTCCTTTTATATGATAATTTAAGTATTTTGGATAGACCCAAAGAAATAAGATTGAAAGAACATTGCATAATTCCAATTAACATTATCAACATTACTTATTAATTATTTATAATTACAAAATTTTAATAATATTTACTAATTTATTATTAATTATTATTACTAATTATTTTGTCGCTTTCCCTGGAGGTTCATGAAGAAGTCTATTCATCTCAGATAGGATTACAATATCAGAAAAAAGAATCAGTTGCATTCAGATCTTGCTTGTTAAACCAATGATTTATTGGACTTCTATACAGGCATGTGTGTGACCTGAAAAGAACTAGATTGCAAAAATATTCTTTCACAACCTGGGAGATATTATGAACATTGAGTAGATTGGGGCCACTCAGTTAACCCGTTTAACATCAGGAGGCATTATAACCTCCAGAGACTAAATGCAGCCTAGTTATTATTCAGTAACTCCCAGCTCTTTGGGGCCTAGGTTACTACATCAGGGAGTATGTTGTAGTTCCACACATCCATTTTTAAGTATTGTGATTTCACTTTTCTTTATATTTGACTAGAATACTGCCGTATATATGTACTATATTTTCATTGTTTATTTCTTGAAGAGATGGATCAACCAGTGA